GAAATTTGTACTGCCAAACTGCAAGCAGCCGGCAGTCAGCAGATGTAGCCTGCAGTACTGCACTCTAACCACTGTGCCACCGTGGTTCATGGACTGCCATTAAACCTGCACTGGCAAAATAGTTTTATACTTTGCAAGAATGGTGAATTTCGATAGCTTGGGTGAAGGAAGGATGAGGGTAAAGATTCGTTCTCCAAGCTTGCAGGTTGATTTCCGAACGTTTCGTTACCAGGCTGGGTAACATCTTCAGTGGAGTTTAGGGTCTGTCAGTGTTCTTCTGTTTATATGGGCTTCAGGTGTGGGTGTGTCAAGTGAGGGTCTTGTGATGGGCCCGGTGTGAATCATCAGTGATGGGTCTTGTGATGGGGAGTGTGATGACACGGGGTATGGCACAAAGGTAACACAGTCACATAAGTAAGAAGAGTCCCTTTAATACCTCCAACTTTGCCCCCAATGTCCAGGTTACCTTCGGCTGGAGGTGTAATTTTAAACACTGTGTTCCCAGCTGCAGCTAATGAAGGGAATCAGGGCCTTTTCCTCCCCGGTAAGCCATGCAACTCACGTTGCTCCATTCTCCGTTCCTCCCTGTGTGCCCTAGAATGAAGAGGGGGTGGGCCTGGATCTTCCTCCGAATTCCCTCTCCCCTGCTCTGCCCAGCCAGACTTTGCCCTTCCCCAGTTTCTTTCACAGCCAACGGAGCTACACTCCCACTCCCTGTCAGCTGCTCAGTCTCCCCCTTGGAATCAGATTCCGACAGGGGCATGACAGGGAGGTTACAGGTCAGGGTCATTGGGAGATAAACTGCTGGTGGCATGGAGAGTTGCGTGGGTTGGTTGAGGGTTGGTGCCATCTCTGGTTGGCTGTGTAGTTGATTTGGATTCTAGGGTCCGTAGGCCGGTTTGTAGGTAGATGTGTCTGTTGTTGGAATTGCCTGTGGAGTGCCAGGCTTCGATGAACTCACCAGTGTGGCACGTGGTAGCGTGGCCAATGATTTTTGCGTTGCTCCAACCGAGCTGATGACTGACACCTGACCTATCACAAGACCCTCACTTGACACACCCACACCTGAAGCCCTCATAAACAGAAGAACACTGACACCCCCTAAACTCCACTGAAGATAGTACCGATCGTGGTAACAAAGTGTTCGGAAACTAACCTGCAAGCTTGGAGAATGCACCTTCACCCTCAATTTTTACACACTCCAGGACTTTTTTTTATTCTCCAGAATGGTTTGAGAGGCTCTTGTATTCAGACTGAAAAGGCCATAACGAGGCATTTAAAAATTTGATCGCATGACTACAGGGATGCTGCAACTGTCGCAAGTGTGGAAAAAATGGTCGTAAGTCACCTTTTTCAGCAACGTCGTAAGTTCGAACGAAGGGTTACAAGTCTATAACCCTGGGGTGATTATAGGAAAGGAGGGTTTTTTTTTTGTTTTTTGTTTTCCTTTTCGGGAAAAACAATCTAACCTGAGGCTGTCCAAATCCAAATCATCGGTGTCGAAATCCAGGAGAGGCTGCGGGGTGTCGCTGGGCCCGTGGGACTGCAGCACGGAAGAACTAGAGGAAATCACAATGGTCTGGCCTGAAGGATGAATAGTCTTGAACTGGAACTGAGGGCCCATCCAGAGGCGGCGGTGAGGTCCGGTGTGAGTCACGATTTCCACCTGGAAGGAGAACACCTGAACAATGCATCACAGGTCTTGAGGGACTTTCAGAAGCTTAGAAGTGATGTCCCCCAAAGAGGCTTTTCTCAAGAGGCCATTGGACTTACTTGTTTTTCCTTTTGAAGAAGCTCCTTCAGCTCTGACTGGATGGTGGGGAACGGAAGGATTTAAATTCCTTGTAGACAGATGGTCGTTTGCATCCTTTTAGGGAGTCGCTGAGGCCACTTGGAGACTTGTCTGTGTCCTCAGGGTCACCCAAGTGGTGAAAATGGGTGTGAAGCCCCCTACCACACAGCCCTTTCGGCAGTTTCAAGAAGGCTCTACACCGATTTGCACTACTCAGGTGACCCTGAGGACACAGAGAAAGCTCCAAGTGGCCTCAACGGCTCTAAAAAAGATGCAAATGAGCAGCTGTCTGCAAGGAGTATAAATCCTTCCCTTCCCCACTTCACTGTCAGAGCTGAAGAAGCATCTTGGATAAGAAGCGAAACATCTTCAAAGAAAAACCAGAAAGTCCAGTTGCCTCTTGAAAAAACACATTTGGGACTCCAAGTATCCTCAATGACTCTAAATAGGATGCAAACGACCAGCTGTCTGCAAGGCGTATAAATCCTTCCCTTCTCCACTTTACTGTCAGGGCTGAAGAAGCTTCTTGGATGAGAAGCAAAAGGTCTTCCAGAAATGTCTTTCTGGAAAATCCAGAAAGTCCAGTGCCCCTTTGAAAAAGTGCCTTTGGGATAACCATGACCTGGAGGACTGAGAATCTCCATAGATGTGATGAGAACAACCTCACCTGGGATAGAGGGGAGGAGATTCCACACAGCAGAAAAGGACTGCCCCCTAGGGCCAGCTAGACCGTAGTTCACTAGATCAGCAGCACCCAACCTTTGCGGTTGGTGCAGAAAGAGGGGAACTGGGCCACGCAAGTGGAAGGCCGGAGCGCATGCGCATTGCACACACAGGTCAACTGGTTGGGCGGCCTGGTTGTGAATAGGCCTCGGCCTGGCTGCGACCTGGGGGTTGGGGACCCCTGCTCTAGAGGATGGACCCAAAACATGCCCATTCTATTAGATCTAGTGGGATAGGCAAATGAAATTGAGAAGCGGAGGTTCCCAAAATAACCGTGTCCCGTGCCAATTATATAGAAAAACACCAGCACCTTGAATTAGACCCAGAAACAAACTGGTAACCAACACAGTCTGTGCAGTAGAATAGGAATAGGAATAGAATAAGAATTAGGTTAGATTAGATTAGATTAGATTAGATTAGATTAGATTAGATTGAAAATAGAATTAGAATAGAATATAAAATAGAATAGAATATAAAACAGAGTAGAATAGAATAGAATAGAACAGAATAGAACAGAGAATGAATAGAACAGAATAGAACAGAGAAAGAATAGAATAGAATAGAATAGAATAGAATAGAATAGAATAGAATAGAATAGAATAGAATAGAATAGAATAGAATGCAATGGAATAGAAATAATATAGAATGGAGTGGAGTAGAGTACAATAGAATAGAATAGAAATAAGAGTAGAATAGAATAAAATTTTTATTGTCACTTTAAATGTACACTAGAGAGGTAGAGGTAGGATGCAGGCTGTCTCAGAAAAATACATAACTGCTTGTACCACTATATTTTGCCAGCGGAGGTTTCCAGGCAGTGTGTAACTGGTACACAATACCAAGTTGCCTCAAGGCCCTCCTAGGCACAACTGCCACCTATTCCTTGAGCAAGAGGCATGATGAGCCCAGGAAAAACCCCTAAACTGCACGCAGGGTCTTCTTGGAACCGTGCAACCCCCATTTAGCACCAGAGATGGTACAGACCGAGAAGGACAAGAGTGGGAAGTGCATCAAACCCCGATGCAGGTAGTCCTCAACTTATGACCACAAGTAAGCCAAAACTTTATGTTGCTAAGGGAAACATTTAAATGAGTTTTGCCCCATTTTACAACCTTTCTTGCCAGGGTTGTTAAGTGAATCACTCCAACTGTTCATTCAATAACACAGTTGTTAAGTGAATCTGGCTTCCCCCATTTGACTTTGCTTGTCAGAAGGTCGCAAAAGGGGATCGCCTGACCCCCCCCCCCAGGACACTGCCAAGGTCATACATGAGTCAGCTGGAAGCTTTCAAGAAGGGACTGGACTGCCATTTGTCCGAAATGGGGTAGGGTGTCCTGCTTTGGGTTGGACTAGATGACCTCTAGGGTCCCTCCCAACTCTGCAACTCTGCCGCTGTTCTCAAGGAGGCTATTCCATGCGCCGTCCACCTTTCGCTCTTTCGTGGCGGCGCCATAAGCCGTCCGCCTGACGCCGAGCAGGCCCGCGATGGAAAGCAGGCTGCCGACGTGGAGCCCCATCCGCCATCCACCATCCGCTCCCCGAGAGCCGAGAGTAAACAGATGCTTCTGCCATTCCAGCAAAGGCAAGGAAAGGCAGATGTTCACAGTCACCCCCTCGCCCTCCTCCATCTGAAATGCACAGGACCGACATATTGTGGTCCCCTTCCCGATGACAGCATGCATTACCCACTCCCCCTCTGACAAGCGAAGTCTATGGGGGAGGAGGTGAAGGGCTCCGTCCCCTTTGTCACAATGGAAGGACCAGCGGTAGCACTTCCATCTGGAAGAAGAAGAGACAAAAGGCTGCGGGCTCTCTCTCTCTCTCTCTCTCTCTCTCTGCGGAAAAGGGACTGCCGGATGACTTTCCATTGCTGTGTGAGTCACTTTTGTGTGAGTGTGGAGGTGATGCGGTGGCTTCACACACAAAAAAAACCCACAGGCGTTCCTGAACCCTCTCCCCAAGAGGATGGGATTCCTTTTTTTTTTTTTAAGGGAAAAAGAAGGAAGATTCCAGAGGAATCCAGTAGGTCCGCATCAATGCCGCAGGAATATTCACAACCACCCCCCCCCAAAAAAACTTTAACCTCTGATGGTTGACTGTTGACCTCACTCCATTCCTAAGAGGTCTTTAAGGGGTGTGCATAAGTGCACCAATGTGCCTACCGCTCCTGTCCTAATGTTTCCTCTTTATTCTTACCCATTTCATGTATTAATAATCACGTTTATATGCTTGTATCTGATACCTAATACATGCTCAACAAAATAAATAAATAAAAGTAAATAAATATTGTGCATATTCAAACAACCCAACTCTAACTAACTCTAACCTCTAACTCTAATCTATGGAGACTCACAATTGTTCAGATAATGGTTGTATCAAAGGTGCTTTTACAAAAGGCAGCAAGACTATCTTGGTTTTTTTCTCCTTTTCTCCTTTCCTGGGACAGACAGACCTTTTTATTGTTATTTTATTTATATTTATTATAGAATAGAATAAAGCTGGAAGGGACCTTGGAGGTCTTCTAGTCCAGCCCCCTGCTCAAGCAGGGAAACTTATACCATTTCAGACAAATCCAGTCTCTTCTTGAAATCTTCCAGTGATGAAGCATCCACAACTTCTGGAGGCAAAGCTGTTTCACCGGTTCATTTTCCTCACTGTTAGGAAGTTTCTCCTTAGTTCCAGGTTGCTTCTCCCCTTGATTAGTTTCCATCCGTTGTTTCTTCTCCTGCCTTCAGGGGCTTTGGAAGATAGGTGGACCCCCTCTTCTTGGTGGCAGCCCCTCAAATACTGGAATTATATTTTATTATGTTATTTGACGTTATTGTTTTATTTATTTTATTATATTATGAGGTAAATCAGATATAGGGGACTGGAGGCTAAAACATATAAACAATGGATGCAGGAATTGGATATATGTCTAGTTTAATGAAAAGAAGGACTAGGGGTGACATGATAGCAGTCTTCCAGTATCTCAGGGGCTGCCCCAAAGAAGAGGGAGTCAAGCTATTCTCCAAAGCACCATAAGGCAGGAGAAGCAGCAATGGGTGGAAACTAATCAAGGAGAGAAGCAACCTGGAATTAAGGAGAAACTTCCTAAAAGTGAGGACAATTAGCCAGTGGAACAGCTTGCCACCAGAAGTTGTGAATGCTCCAACACTGGAGGTTTTTAAGAAGAGATTGGACGGCTGTTTGTCTGTAAAGGCATAGGATTTCCTGCTTGAGCAGAGGGTTGGGCTAGAAGACCTCCCAGGTCCCTTCCAACTCTGTTTATTCTGTTCTTTTACTGTTCTGTTCTTTTACTTCGGCTTCGCTTACACTCTTTTCATTTCTTCCTTTTTAATTGTTGTAAGTGGCTTGGAGTAGCCCCATGTTGAGATAGGCGGCCAATAAATTTATCAAAATAAAGCAATAGTTCTTTTTCCAATGGCTCCGGCAGTATTCCGACAATCCATCAACCGTTACCTGGGAGAGCCATTCTTCGTCTTCTTGTCCACTGTGATCGGAAGCTAAGCTGTCGTAAGATTCATGGCGGGTGATCGGTCCTGGGCTTCCCAGCGGAACTACTGTTGGGTGAGGGGGAGACATGAGACAAGAAAGAAATCAGACACGATTAAGAGAATGTCAAAAAAAGCACACACCGGAAGTCCTTGATTTACAACCACCATTCAGCCCGAAAATTTATGCTGCTGAGTGAAACATTTGTTAAATGAGCTTTGCCCCATTTGACAAACTTTCTTGGCTGTACCCTGTTTCCCCCAAAATACGACCTATCCTGAAAGTAAGTCCTAGCTTGATTTTTACACATGTGTCCCATATAAGCCCTACCCCCAAAATAAGCCCTCATTAAGATCCCGCCCACTCCAGAGTGCACAGGTAAAAATTAAGCTAGGCTGGGGATGGGAGGGGGGATGGAGCTGCCCTACTACTTACCTTTGGACAGTTGTAGCCAGGCCTCGCACACCCTGACACCTGCCTTGCCAGCCCATTTCTTCTGCAGCCAGCAAGGCTGGCAAGGCTTTCCTGAAGGCCTCTGGAGCTGAGACCAAAGCTCTGGATCGATCCTGAGCTCTGTTACCAGCCGTATAGGCCTTTAGGAAAGCCTTGCCGGCCATAGAAGAAGAAGTTCCTGAAGGCCTCTGACTGCGAAAAAGAGGCTGGGGGCGATGCGCACAAGTGAGGCTAATCAGTTAGTGACATCCCCCCAAAATAAGACCTGGTGCCTTTTTTTGGTGGCAAAAAAAATATAAGACATGGTCTTAACTTTGGGGGAAACATGGTCGTTGTTAAGTGAATCGTGGCAGTTGTTAAATTAGTAACGTGGTCGTTAAGTGAATCTAGTTTACGCATGGGCGTTGCTTGTCGGAAAGTCACAAAAAAGGGATCCTGTGACCCCATAGGATGCTGCAACCATCATAAATACATGCCAGTTGCCAAGCACCTAAATTTTGATCACGTGACCCGGGGGATGCTGCAACCGGTCATAAGTATGAAAAACAGCCGTAAGTCACTTTTTTTTCCCCCAGTGCCGCTGTAACTTCGAACAGTCAGTAAGTGAATTATTGTAAGTCAAGGACTATCTGTAGTCCAGGTTGACCTCATCTGGCTCCAAGCAACGGATGTTAAGATTCTGATGACCAGTAAAACCGATCCAGAATATCAGAAATGTATTCAAGCCTGTTAAGAAAGAAATGTTAGGAAAACCAAGAACACCTTCAGGAGAGGTTTAGGTAAAGATTCGGTTCCAATTCAGAATAGAGCTTGAAGGGACCTTGGAGGTCTTCTAGTCCAGCCTCCTTGCTCAAGCAGGAGACCCTATGCCATTTTGGACAGGTGGCTGTCCAGACTTTTCTTAAAAATCTCCAGTGATGGAGGCACCTACAACTTCTGGTGACAGGAAGTTCTACTGGTTAAATGTCTATGGAGATTCCCAGTCCTCCAGGTCCTGGTTGTCCCAAAGGTGCTTTTTCAAGAGGCCACTGGACTTTCTGATTTTTCACTGAAGACGTTTCGATTCTCATCTAAGAAGCTTCTTCAGCTCTGACTGGATGGTGGGGAAGGGAAGGATTTTTATTCCCTGCAGACAGCTGGTCATTTGCGTTCTTTTAGTGCGTCACTGAGACCGCTTGGATGTTTGTCAGTGTCCTCAGGGTCACCTAAGTGGTGCAAATGGGTGTGGAGCCTTCTACCACACGGTCCTTTCAGCAGTTCCAAGAAGGCTCCACACCTATTTGTACCACTCAGGTGACCCTGAGGACAGAGGCAAACCTCCAAGTGGCCTCCACGACTTTCTAAAAGGATGCAAATGACCAGCTTTTATGCAAGGAATATAAATCCTTCCCTTCCCCACCATCCAGTCAGAGCCGAAGAAGCTTCTTGGATGAGCAGTGAAAGAAAAATCAGAAAAAGTCCAGTGGCCTCTTGAAAAAAGCACTTTCCACTGGTTAATTGTCCTCACAGTTGAGAAGTTTCTCCTTAATTCCAGGTTGCTTCTCTCCTTGATGAAGTTTCCATCCATTGTTTTCATGTCTTGCCTTCTGCTGCTTTGGAAAATGATTTTTTCTTCCAAAAGAGGATGACGGTTACAAGGTCACTGCACCGTTGGCAAGTCCTGTCATTTAGAATTGGCTGCAGCCTTTCCTCTTCCTTTTAAATGCCTCCACTTCACGAGACGCTAAGCGCCGGTTGAAAGACCTGAACAAAACCACTCCTCAGAAGCCATTAGGGTCGAGAAGCGTAAGCATCCAGTCACCTTGATGCTAATGCAACCGATTTGAAGCTGCCTCGACAATGAAGTTGGCCGAGATCCCTCTGGCAGGTGCTAGCAGAAGCCTCGCATCCCGGCAGCAGCTGCCTTTTCAAGCAAACATATTGCAGCACTGCCGGGCATTTTATAAAAAGAAAATTAAATATATATATATATGGAGGCTGGGGGGGAAAAAAGTAGAATAGTGTGAAAAAGTTCTAAACCAGATACCTTAGAGGGATCAGGAGGTTGGTTTGCCACGAGGAACACCTGAAATTAAAGGCGGGATAAATACTAAGGAATATCAGATTTGGCCTGACTGAAGTGTGATTGAAGTGAGTGAATAGCGATAGCACTTGGACTTATATACCACTTTATAGTGCTTTAGAACCCTTTCTAAGCGGCTTCCAGAGTCCGAATATCATTCCCAGAAATCTGGGTCCTTGCTTTAAAGACCTCAGAAAGATGGAAGGCTGAGACAACCTTCAGTCGGTCAGGATCAAACTCCTGGCAGTGGGCACAGTTTGCCAGCAACAGCACTTATATATCACTTCACAGTGCTTTACCGCCCTCTCTAAGCAGTTCACAGAGTCAGCCTATTGCCCCCAACAATCTTGGTCCTCATTTTACCTGACCTCGGAAGGATGGAAGGCTGAGACAACCTTGAGCCGGTCAGGACTGAACTCCTGGCAGTGGGCACAATTTGCTTGCAATAGCAGTAGCAATAGCACTTAGACGTATATACTGCTTCACCATGTTTTACAGCCCTCTCTAAGCCATTTACAGAGTCAGCCTCTTGCCTCCAACAATCTGGGTCCTCACTTTACCGACCTCGGAAGGATGGAAGGCTGAGTCGACGTTGAGCTAGGAAGGATCAAATCCCTGCCAGCGGGCAGAGTTATACTGCAATACTGCTTTCTAACCACTGCACCACCAGGGCTCAGTGATTGATAGTGAGTGAATGATAGGGGTATGGAAAGAGGTAGAATTTTTAGCATTTGCTCTGACTGACTTCTCCGTTAATGATTAAAAGTAAGACCAGGTAAGTTTACAGTACAAGGGGTCCTCAATTTACAACCATTTGTTTAATGACTGTTCGAAGTTACAAGAGCACTGAAAAAAGCAACTTATGAACAGTCCTAGACAACCAGGCTGAGGGAAGGGTCGAATACGTCTTAAGTCACAAATCCAGCTCACCTTGAATGCCATTCTTATCTCCCTGTCATTTCCCTTGACTGTTAGTTGGTCAGATTCTTGTAGAGTCTTAAGTTTGCAATACATCTTTATACTCATTTGAACTGCCTGGATCTCCTGGCGCTCAAAAGTCCTCACTTTATGACCATCAAAGCAACTAGTATATATCTATGACAATTGTAGCATTCCGGGGTCATGAAGGTTGATGTCAGCTTGTAGATAGGTGTTTCAGGGTGAGGCAAGATGGCATCGTTATTTTGTTTATTTGCATCCTGCCTGATTAATTACAAATAATTCAGGGCAGCGAACATATCCAACATGCCTTCCTCCGTTTATTTTCGCCACAGCAAGTCTGTGAAGTGAATTGGGCTGAGAGTTGCTAACCCAGGTCACCCATCTAGCTTTCATGCCCAAGATGGGACTAGAACTCTCAGTCTCCTGGTGATGGGCTCAAAGTCACCCAGCTTTCACGCCTAAGGCAGAACCAGAATTCACTTTCTCCTGTTGATTGGCCCAAAGTCACCCAACCAGCTTTCATGCCTAAGGCATGAAAGAATTAATCATCTCCCGGTGATTGGCTCAAAGTCACCCAGCTGGCTTTCATGCCTAAAGTGAGACTAGAACTCACAGTCTCCTGGTGATTGATCCAAAGTCACCCAACCAGCTTTCATGCCTAAGACGGGACTAGAATTCACCCTCTCCTGATGATTGGTCCAAAGTCACCCAACCAGCTTTCATGCCTAAGACGGGACTAGAATTCACCATCTCCTGGTGATTGATCCAAAGTCACCCAACCAGCTTTCATGCCTAAGACGGGACTAGAATTCACCCTCTCCTGATGATTGGTCCAAAGTCACCTAGCTGGCTTTCATGCCTAAGGCAGGACTAGAACTCACTGTCTCCTGTTTTCTAGCCTGGGGACTTAACCGAAGAAACTTCACTCAGCTACACTCAACCATGGCACCTTGAAGACATGTGGACGTCCACTCTCCGAGTTGTGGTTCACACGTTGTAAAGTTGCCAAGATTGAGACGCACCGTGTAGTAGGAGCATCACCACAACACAATGCAGCAGTGAAACCAAAAGATAAGGAGACACAAGGATCCCCTCCCCTCTTCTAAAAAGCGGCTTGCTTTGTGCCCTGCGTTGCAAGGCTGCGATATTCTAGAATGCTCAATTATTCATTTTTTTCCCCTCAGCTTTTCTATCAGCAGCCATGTACAGGGATCCGGTTTCTTTTCCCTTTCATTACATTCCTCCCTGGAGGACAGTCACAGATAATTACAAAACCCGGACATTTCTGTGTGCCGCAAAGCAGTCTGCAACACGACAAATGCTCAAATGCAACCGCAGGTGCGCTATTTCCATCCTGAAACTAATGGAATGTTGTGTAACTGTGTCAAAGTTTCACGTATCCGATGAAAGGGCCAGTGTGAAATCTCCAGAGACCTAGGATGGCTGCTTGGAGGGTAGCTGAAGAAAATGACAATACAGTAAAGACATTCCATGTTACAGAGCCAGAAACTCGGGGATCATAACAGAACAACAGAGTTGGAAGGGACCCTGGAGGTCCAATTTCTTCTTCAAAACCTCCAGTGATGGAACATTTACAGCTTCTGGCGGCAA